GGACACAGTGACATAGACTGTAACAACATTATGAGGCTATGCTTGTAAGGAAAATTAAATGGTTAAAGAGGTTGAGTACATTACATTAAACTTATCTTGGGATTTAATCATAATTTTCATAACTCAAATGTTGTAATAATGAAAGACAGTGATGAACTTATTTAGATTGATTGATTTAATCATAATTTTCATAACTCAAATGTTGTAATAATGAAAGACAGTGATGAACTTATTTAGATTGATTGATTTAATCATAATTTTCATAACTCAATTGTTGTAATAATGAAAGACAGTGATGAACTTATTTAGATTGATTGATTTAATCATAATTTTCATAATTCAATTGTTGTAATAATGAAAGACAGTGATGAACTTATTTAGATTGATTGATTTAATCATAATTTTGATTATACACTTAATTCACATGATGTGTAATTGCTGTTCATTCGATGTAATTGCTATTCATTGATTATATCAATTAAATTGCCTGGCTGAAGTTTCAGGAAGGAGAAGATCTGACATTCAAGCCCTTAATGCTTTTCATACTCTTTTTCTCCCTTTACTTATACCCTTAAACAACATTCAAGATTTGTACTGAGAGATAATGTAATCACTGATCCAAATTTTCATTCCAAAGAACTTGTTTCATAAGTACTTTTTGTTGCTATATTGCATAAACAGGATCTTTTAGAGATATTTATAGATTATTTATACCTTACTACAAATCTCACTCCACAAATCTTGATGAAATCTGTTCCTCCTGCAAACAATTACATGGATGTCTGGGATTAAGAAGTCATTTGATTTAAAAAGGAAAGTCCTGCTTTTCGACATTCTGTGTAAACTCATTTGATTAAAAACAGGTCTCTCCTGTCTTAGGTGTTTCTGTGTTTATATCATTTATTACAACTGAGACTCTCTAAGTTAAGTCTATCTGATTAGCAATTTACATTTTTAAGACTTAAATTATTTCAAACAGGTATTTACCTCTGAAATACATTCCCACCCACTCCCAACAACCAGATTATATATGATTTTCAATCATGACTGGAACTATTTCTTTATAATTGTATAGGACCCTAAAACAATTTGAATTTTGGCTTTTCTTTCAAAGTTTTCTTGAATGCGTGAACAGTTTTTTTATAATGCAAATAATTTACCCTTTTGCTTCTATCTGAAAATCAGCTGCTCCACCAAAATTTCTTCGTAAAGAAGAAGAGATAATGTATGGTATCCGAGGTCATCCTGTCACTATTGAATTTTGGATTTATGGCTACCCTGAACCCAAAATTACTTGGTATTTTAATAACCAAAAGGTAAATATATTTTATCTTTGTATCATAAAAACATTTTTATGTTAGTTTTTTTACATCCATATACTACATTTTGTCCAAAATTTTCTGATTTTGTGCATTGTGTCCTTCTCATTATGTGACATCTATTGTTGTATTTTTGTTTTTTTTAAATGAGTAGTTATTATTCAATGGAAATATTGTAGAGAAAATATTAAATTGGAAGTTTTTATATTCAGTTAATTGCCAAATTATATTTTTATGTAATAGCTCTTGGTGAATTTTGTGAAACATTTGTGATATTTTAGCATGTTGAAACAAATTGATTGGTGTTATTTCCTATTAATAAAACTATGTATCATTAGTTATAAAGATTAACACTATTTTATCAAGATCGAGTTTCCTGGAAGTAAATATGACAGCCTTCAAGACAGAAATGGTCAGATATGTTTATTTTTAAATAAAATGACTGAAGCTGATGAAGGAACATTCATGTGTCATGCTGTTAATGAACATGGTGACACGAGGCAGAAGATAAGACTATTGTTGGCAGGTGCGTACTTTTATTTTATGCCATTACAGAAACAACATACATGTAGTTAAAACATTTTACATTAACATGTAAGTTTAATAACACAAATTGTGGTGTCTTTCATGCCATTTTGTTCTGGCATGGGTTTTTTTTAGCATAAAATATTATACATTTCCCCAGGTACATTATAAAATTATGCTAATATGCACCATACAGTCTTCTTTTTATAACTAATGTTTTATTATGTATATATCTTTTGTAATACAAGTGTGATACTGTGTATTGTATAATTAAATTGCAAGTTCAATGTTAGCTCAATTTAACTGAAATTATATATGTAGTTATTGCATCCTGAGAGTTTTATTAGCTGTGTTTGAAATTATTTCAATAAATGTTTTCTTGGTAATATTTTTATGAATACTTTGCATAAACATAATGATTGAAGGTGAATGAATCAATCTAAATAAGTTCATCACTGTCTTTCATTATTACAACAATTGAGTTATGGAAATTATGATTAAATCAATCAATCTAAATAAGTTCATCACTGTCTTTCATTATTACAACAATTGAGTTATGGAAATTATGATTAAATCAATCAATCTAAATAAGTTCATCACTGTCTTTCATTATTACAACAATTGAGTTATGGAAATTATG